AGACAATCTTGTAAAATCTGTATTGATCTTCTTTATCAATATATATTTTAAATTTGAAAATTGTGTTTGTATTCATCCCCCCCCTTCTACAAACTGTTTAGTATTCTTGTAGACCCTTTGGGACCAACAGAACCAACTAAGGTATCTGAAACCTTAGCTGATCCGGATTGGATACTCGCAATGCAAGAGGAGTTGAACAAGTTTGAAGCATTGAAAGTCTGGAGATTGGTACCTCGTCCCAACAACAAGACGATTATCGGTACAAAATGGGTATTCAAAAACAAAAAGGACGAAGATGGCGTTGTGGTCAGAAATAAGGCTCGGCTCGTCGCTAAAGGATACAATGAACAAGAAGGCGTTGACTATGATGAATCTTTTGCCCCGGTAGCAAGGATCGAAGCAATACAGAAGTTTCTAGCGTATACGGCACACAAAAACTTCACAGTCAACCAGATGGACGTCAAGACAACATTTATGTATGGTCTTCTCAAAGAAGAAGTCTACGTTGCTCAACCTGAGGGTTTTGTGGATCAGTCAAAGCCGGATCATGTTTACATCCTTGACTGAGCTCTTTATGGTCTTAAACAAGCTCCGAGAGCCTGGTATGACAGCTTATCAGATTTCCTGATAAAGTCAGGTTTCTCGAAAGGTAATATTGACACAACCCTTTTCATTAAAAAGGAAAAGTCCGATATTATTTTGATACAAATTTATGTAGACAACATAATATTTGGATCTACAAACCCAAAATACTGCAAAAACTTTTCTACCTTCATGGTTTCGCGTTTTAAAATGAGTATGATGGGTGAGATGAACTTCTTTTTAGGTCTTCAAATAAAACAATTATCTTCAGGTATCTTTATCTGTCAAACAAAATATATTTTTGATATCCTGAAGAAATTTAATTTAGAAAACTGTTCATCTATAAAAACATCTATGGCACATGGAACGAAAATACATGTTGATCCGTCTGAAAAAGTTGTAGATCAGAAAACATACCGAGGCATGATAGGTTGTTTAATGTATTTGACGTCTTGTAGACCTGATATTATGTTTTCAACACATCTTTATGCCAGATATCAGGTTAATCCAAAGGAGTCCCATGTAAGTGATGTTAAGCGCATTTTCCGTTATCTCAAAGGGACTGTTAATCTTGGACTCTGGTATCCCAAGGGTACTAGTTTTGAACTAACAGCTTACTCAGATGCAGACTATGCAGGCTGTATGTTGGACAGAAAAAGCACTTCGGGACATCTATAGTTTTTGGGAGACAAGTTAGTCAGCTGGGCATCAAAGAAACAGATCTGCGTATCCATATCTACTGCCGAAGCAAAATATGTAGCTGTTGCGAGCTGCTGTTCTCAAGTTTTATGGATGTAGACACAGCTCAGAGACTACGGGTTCTATTTTAACAAAATTCCGATTTATTGTGATTCTAAAAGTGCAATTGCTATTTCATGTAATCCTGTTCAACACACAAAGACCAAACATATAGATATCCGGTATCATTTCATTAAAGATCATGTAGAAAAAGAAACCATTGAACTGTATTTTGTAAATACAAAATTTCAATTAGCTGACTTACTTACGAAAGCTTTAGATGGAAAGTGCTTTAGCTTTCTTGTATCTAAGTTAGGTATGCTTAATTTGAAAATTTTAATTTTTATCAAAAACAGTTCAATTTATTGAATTGTATTTAATTCAAATTCATTTGGTCAAATATCTGTATTTTTAAATACAGGTCAGTGTTTCAATTTATGTATCTGATTTTAAATTTCTTGATCGTGGAAATACATATTTGACAGGGAGTGTGGATCTTTATCTGTATTTTGTTTATCTGATCATATTTTGAGGGGAAGTGATTTTATCTGTTTTGGACTAACAGTTTAAAAATTTCTTACAGGTTTTTTTTACATTATCTAATTTTTGAAAGATGTAGAGTTTAAAAATATAAGTGTTTGGCCGATTTAGACTAATTCGGACAACACTTGTCCGATTTATTGCAAATCTGGACAATGTAGTGTCCGATTTAGACTAATCCGGACAAAAGGCTATATGATAAACTCTTATCCGGATAAGGTTAGATATGTTTTATAAGGACTTGAGCAGATTTCTAAATCGCTTGATTACTTTGAGCGGATTGCTAAATCGTTTATCTCATTTGTGCTTTTCAAGTCTTTAAATCGCTTGTTTGTTGAGCGATTTAACTCCTTCGTTGAGCGATTTAACTTCTTCATTGAGTGGTTTATTCTTAAATCGATTGACACTTGAGCGATTTATTCTTAAACCAGATGACTCTTGACCGGTGTTCTTCTAAATCGCCTATGCCTTGTACGATTTATTGTCCAGATTATC